GTGTGAACGTTAGTAATTTGATGGGCTTATAGACGGGGGGCTTATATTCGGGGGGCTTATATTCGGGGGGGGGGGCTTATATTCGGAAGTTTACGGTATAATCGTATCATTGCTATTCGAAATGACGTCGCAAGGACTAGAGTTACTGTTAGGGTTACGATTGGGAGTAGAATGGATTTAAAAGTGTACATCAGTTGAAGTTGTTAATATAAAAATTAGCCCACAATTTTTATCACGACTATCGTGGTTAAGGACACCTCGGCCGTATTAAGGCTTGTATAATGGGCAGGAACTGACTTAGTGTTCCTATGACGATCATACTTCATTAGCTGTCATTAGACAGATTTAGATCGAGGACGCGGACGTCAAAGATGACGTGAAATGGCGTTTTGTGCCCATGTATAGATATGCCACACCATTTTGACGCCATTGTCGTCTTTGACGTCCACGTCCTCGATCCAAATCTATCGGCTAATACTCACCTAGACGGTGACGGACAATTTTTATAGGGGGATTTATGTAGTGCCAAGATATGATCAGCAGTAGGTGACGTGGGAGGGGTGCAGAGGGAACCTGCATTATTCTGATAGATATATACCAAGTTTGAGAGAAAGAAAGAACTGAGAAGGACCGTTTACAAGCTGTGGTAATTAATTAGATTGAGCGCATTTATAACTGGCATTTTTTTCATTTAAGTCATCTGTAAAAACTAGGAAACGGTTACTTATTATTTCTGGTGTTCTCAAAATATGACATACTAGCTGGTCACATCATCCTGGATCCAAGGGAAACTAGCCACGGGATTCAGTAAATCTTTCAGCAGCCCTGCCTAAAAATGATTGTTGCTCGTGAAAACAATAGCAGGTAAGATTTGCTGGATCACACGACAGAACATGTTCGACTCTTGTATTTTAAAATCTTTCGTCTTATGAAATAAGTTTAATAATTACGCATTACATTATGCTTCTTCGCTACCCAAATTTGAATCTTCTTTGCATATATTTTATAGTATTCCAATACAAAATTATAACAAACACAATCATTTCTGCTTTGAGCGCCACTCCGTCCTAGTCTACGAATCCACACGTCATCACCCACGCTCAAAGTTACTTTCCGAGCGAAGAATGAGCGTGGGAAATGACGTCTGTTGGCACACTACATCCTTCCTTAGTCTCTAATCGTAATAATCCATTCCTCTTTTGTTTTCTTTCAAAAAATTCGCAGAATTTTGCTTAGAAGATATTTTAATAAAAAATCTCCCAATCAAACCTCCTATATATATTCCATGATAGTTAACCTGGAATCCAGCCTCCGCCACGACCCCAAATGGGCAGAAGTGAGGACCTGGGAACGAGGTTGCCAAAATATTACCCGGTTAATCAATATTTCATTGCCAATCATATTGACCAATCAAATCCTTCCTGAGACGCGGAAGTCGATTGAATATCCCAGGGTATTGGTTATTCACTCCTAGTATAAACAAGAGTGCTCACATCGGTCATAATTCACTCTTCTTGGCCGGTATGAATCACGAAAGATTTTTCCTCACTTGAACGATTTTTGTAGACGGAAATTTCGAGCAGAAGCCACAATTTTAGAGCTAACCAGCGCAACTAGCAACTTCTGGCAACTAGCAACTAGCAACTTCTTGCAACTAGCGCAACTTCTGGCAGGGATCGAACCTGCGGCCCTGCGTTTCCGGTGCAGCGCTCTAACCAACTGAGCTGGCTACAGAGTACTACCAGTTGCCGAGCTACAGAGGGTCTATATATAGTTGCATTTTTCACAACTGCTCCTGGTTGGTCTAAAATCGTATATAATCTTCTGCTCGAAATTTCCATCTGCAAATGAATAAACCTTTCCCCTTATGAGTGAAATTTTGATCTAGATATGCCTGGACAAAAATTTCATCACAGCTTGAAAGAGCATCACAAAATTAGTAATATTCCGAAGTTTCGTTGCGAAATGTTGTAAAATAATATAACCTTGCGAAGTTTGCCATTTTTCAGTCATTTTGCATTACAAACGGGAAATTGATAATCAGATGATCAAACTGATAATCAGGGGCCGGTTGTATAAAAAAGTGATTAAAGTTAATTATGATTAGTGGAAACGTCATCCAATAAGAAGCGCGTATTTGAGAGTTAATCACTATTTAACTACAAAATAGTGATTAAAAAAGTGATTAAGAGTTTTATACAACCGGCCCCAGATGATCAAACTGATTATCAATTTCCCATTTGTAGTACAAAATGACTGAAAAACGGCAAACTTCGCAAGGCTATATTATCCGCATTTTATACAACATTTCGCAACGAAACTTCGGAATATTACCAATTTTGTGATGCTCTTTCAAGCTGTGATGAAATTTTTGTCCAGACTTGTCTAGATCAAAATTTCACTCAAAAGGGGAAAGGTCTATTCTTCAACTGTTAGTTTTATCGAGCGAGATACAGCGTTCGTCGCCCATCGGTCGCATATGGTGTTCACTCCCAATCTCCCACCCATAACCCATGCCCCTCACATTTTCCACTATCCATCACTTCACTGAGTGAACATGCCTGATCGTTATTATTCCCCAAACTTAATATTTAGGTGAGCCGGAAAGGGACGGGTGAGAATATGTATTGTATATTGTAGGTATACGTTACTGAATAATTTTATAATTATGTATTTTGTAGACCATGCACAGTGACCTTGATTGATCTTGACCAATGGCTGTTAAAACTATAGGCTATTCAACAGGTAATACATAGTTTAACTTAACCTCCTGCGGAATATATGTCGACGTTTCAGTCGTGTCAGTAGAATCACTATATCTTCACTGGGACCCCCACGTTTGATATGTCAATACGTAGTTCAAATATTTTTCATTTCATCATCTTTCATTACCTTGCCATTACCTATGAATCAATGAAATATTTTAACACCACTATTCTTGTATTCAAGATATTTACTGCTTCTATTTACTCTCCTATATATCAATCGAATGGCATTAATAAATTATATGCGTTTCGTCCATCATTGCTTAAACATAGTCATGGAGTAGGGCGTGGGAACAGATTTGCCTTCTTCAATTTGAATGGTCTGATTTGAAAGTTGATGCAGGTGAAGCTGATTAGTGGACTGGAAATGTATCATAGAGAGGGGATGGACGAGAGGGAGCTCGTGGTTTTCAAGAAGGAGACTATTTTTCACGATTGTTAATATAAAACGCAAAAGAACCAGCAACCATGCAGGAACTGATAACAATCCTAAACTTTCCCCTAAACCTTATACCCTCAACCTCTCGTCCATCCCTTTTAGCCATTACCGAGATGTTATCACAGTCCGATCCAACGCAATCTCGTACCCAGAGCCATCAGTTCCAGGTGCGAGATTGGATCCAGCGCACAAAGGATGGGAGGAAAAAATGTCCTTGGCACAATAAAATTTGCATGCGCATGTACATGTAGGTGATCAAAAGCATTGGACGTGATAAACGTCATAGGCAAGTATATTAGACGTAGTTTTTAATGCACCGTGAGAAGTATCTATTAATAAATGATTATCCAAATTATGATAACTTCAGGACTGTTTAGGTACATACTCATATGAGCATGATCAGATAAAAGCGCATGCCCCTGGCCCTGCATGTATGCGGGGTATAACAGGGTATATATATATATATATATATATATATATATATATATATATATATATATATATATATATATATATATATATAGCTTAAGGTTTTGGTTTACGAAACACAAACAGTGCTCAATACCATATAGATAGAGCGTAATATAGTTTTTCGTTTTACCTCAATATATATATATATATACTTTCGCAACGTTTTTAATTTCTCGTAATAATTATGAGAACTAATCAAATAACTGACATTTGTATTTTGTCTTTCCTCCCTTGAACATGAGCAGCTGAATGTGGATCGCTTTTCATCTTTTCACAACGTTTCTCCGATTCGATAAATCCTATTTGACAGAACATAATTTTGCTTATCTGATATTCTATTCTAATTCGATCCAAATCTATATTTTATAGGGATTGGTTTCAGATAACGTGGAAGGCCGGAAGGGAAATGCCAAGATGTTAAAAGCCGATACTAAAGCAACTGATACTGAATAGTCCATTGTCCTGTTTATAGGCGTACTTAGTTAAAACTCTAAATTAGTATTAGTGCCCACCTTGGATATTCAATCTGAACACGAGACTAAAATATAACTTCAAAACACATCTGCAAAAAGTATCTGTATGGAATATAAGTTTTCAATCATTCCAGCGCAGTCTTACATATAGATCTTTATCAAAACTTGTCTAATCCAACTATTAAATGGATAATCTCGTCTAAATTTAGCAATTTTTTCAACACTCTCGATAATTATGATTTGGGATGACGAGTTTGCTGAAATATGACCGATAAGCAGACATCATGTAATTGTATCATTTCATCGCCGCAAGCAATAAATTGAATTAGAAAGCAATTTGTTTTATGAAGCCATGCAGAGTTTTCTGATAAACTATCTACAAATTAAATGTAGATGATGCTTTATATGTATTTTGGGCGGACCACTAGAATTTTTCACTAGTGGTGAATTTCCCGATAGCACGAATTTTTTTTCGGCCGTCTATGCTTGTGCTGGAATTTTAAAGGTATTTTTCTCTTGTTTTCCTTCGAGCGAATTTTTTGACCCTCCCGCATTACTTTGTCTAATGTTCCAGAGAACTGGTTATAATGAAATATTTTAAAGATTTCCAATTCTTCCAGAGAAAAGATCTGTGGAATTCCTTGGGTTCTTAATTAAGGAATTCATAGAACCACTTATTAAGGAATTCATAGAACCACTTATTCAGGAATTCATAGAACCACTTAAAGTTACTATTCAGTATTCCCTTGTGTAACTGATCGAACTCACACGTATATGACCATATGATCTGTAATGCATATTTAAAAGTGCACTGCAGAACCAATCCGCCAAAAATACAAAGTCCGCATCTAAATAAAATAATATACGAGCTGCACGGTTTTGAAGTTCACAAGTTCTGGCAATCCGTCATGTAAAATACAAAAATACAAGGGAGGTCTTACGCCCAGAGGGGACGGGCAATTTGCCCCGGGTCCCCAGTTAAAGGGGGCCCAAAAATTTGCAAAAGGGGGCCCAAAAAGGTATAATGAAAAAAATTATTTGGAACGTTTTTTATATAAGTAATCGGGTATGAGAGAAATGTTAATGCAAACCTTAATTTTAGTGGTATTAGTCCGAAAAAATGTGTTTTAGGCGTCATTTTACAAGTAGTTGTCAGGAAAATTTTTTTTGAACCTTAATTTTACTGGTGTTTGTCCGGAAACATTTTAATTTTAATCTTTCTTTGTTTATGTCTGGGAAAATTTTTTCTTCCCCCCCCCCCTTTTGGGAAAAAAAACAGGATAAGAGATCATAAAATAATATGCCTCTTGTGCAAATTGTTGAGTAGTAGGTGCATAGAGCTTGTCAGGAATCGTTTACACACGTTGTTAAAATTGCCGTTTAATTTAGATTTAAAAATCCAAAGGGAATCCTGGACTGTTTAGAGGTACTGATTTCTTGGTTACTAGTTACTGATTTGGGCACTGATTTCTTGGTTACCAGTGTTGGTAGTACCAATGTGAAAATGCTGTGCTGAGTGGTTATATTACTACCTTAAAAAATAAGCAGAAACTCGACGTTTCGAGCGAAGGCCCTTCGTCAAGAGTTAGTAGCCAAACCTTTAATTCGTCTGAGAAAAGACAGGAGTGGCATTTTGTATCAATTACACGTATACGGTATACCAAGCCTGTACACAGATCTAACAACCAATTTGCGGATACCTGTGCACAGGCTAACATAGATTTGCTCAATCCACTATAGCACGGTTAATCTATTAAGTCTATTAACCGTGACTATAGCAAGTATGAATAAGTCGGATAAAATGACGTAATGCTACAAGGGAAAGCGAGTTTGGACAAAGTTTGGACATAGTATTGACAAGAAATCAATGATACAAGTAAAGTCTGGTTCACATATATGCCTGTATCCAGTTTTATTCATCCAGTTTTATTCTATTTTCTTCGGAATTTTTCTCGTACCAATACGAATCATATACTATTATACGAGATAAGTCCCCGGTGAAAAGCGCGCTGCCTCGCGGGGTGGCGGGACGGCGTCGGCATCCGACGGCGGGAAAATTATGTCAACAATATGGCGGTCAACAAGGCTTTCAAGGCTTCAATATGTTCAGCATCGGAATATAAATGTGTTATCTGCTTGCAACTTCTCATAGAACCTGTTGTTTTGCCATGTAAACATGAAATGTGTAAACCTTGCTTTCGTAAAAATGTGGAAGAAGCGAATTTTGTATGTCCTATGTGTAGAAAACGTATTGCAAGTTGGGCTCGGAAGTGCATCAGAGAAGGAACGCTAGTTGATCAAAATAGATGGAATCTTATACAGAAGCTCTTTCCTAAGAAATGTTTAAAGAGACTACAGGGTGACGATGATGACAGTGAAGACGAAGGTATGTATAGTAGTTTGGTGCAGCAGCGTTGTGTTTAATGTAAATAATCATGAAAGATTTTTTAATAGTTTATACTAGAAGTTATAATCGCAAGGGTAAGTGCTGTCATATGACCATATCAGGCCAATATTTGTTGCATATTAGTTTCTCATGGACTTTTCCCTAAGTTAATGCAGGTGGGAAGCCATTACCACCAGGCTGCATTCCACACACTACATGCCAGAGATCTCCGGCACGAGGTTACAAAATTTGTTGGTGTATTGATGTGAGATTACTCAAAGTCTTGGTATATTGGCCGTATGATTACTTTACAGTCTTAAAAGCACAGAGGATTGTCCATTTTGACATTGGGTTTTAGTCCCCCAAAGTAAAATGTTTTGATAAATTGGTGTGATCAAGGGCAAATGTTGGCGTATTTCCAGCACGGTTTCTGATGCAATATTAAAATGTAAAGCGATGTGTTGCTACTTTGGTAAAACAAATCGGCCAAATTTGGTTTGTGAAGTTCTAATTGTCTTTTTTGTATTATAATGGTTGAAAATGACAATAATGGCCATCGAGGCGGTTTCCTAAGAAACATATGGGCGGGGTATGATTACATGGAAAAATTTGTAGGCTGACCTTTCAGTCAATTGTTTAAACTCTTGGAATCCCTTGTCAGATAAATTTCTTGGCAGTGAGAGAAACACAAAAACTAAACAGTCCAAAATAACTTTCATCACAAAACAAAACTAGAATTGATTAGAAAAATATTTTGTAGGTCCAAACAAACATGCCTAAAGGTTTTGAAAATAACTGGCCTACAATTTTTGAAAATAATTGTAGGCCAGAAAATGTTCTCAATTTACACCCTAAGGCATGGACACTGTATTTATAAAGATTGCAACATGATAAGGTACATTGACAAATGGATTTTGTCTTGCTTCATGGATTTGTTATGTGATTGTGTTGACTTAACCCTTTAAGTGGCAATGCCCCCTACTTTACTATTTTACTCTGTCTAATGCCGCCACTCAATGGGTTAAAGATAATTTCATGACCCTAGTGACACAGGGTTATCCTAGTAAACTAGTTATCCTGGTTTATTGTGTTTGCAAATTTACATGTGTGCTTGGATGATGCTAGTGGTGGTTATCACTTAGATAACACTAATTCTGTCCTGTAAGACATTCTACCAATGGACACACAGTACAGCATTCACAATGTTTCAAAGTTGTGCTTATATTAGTAACTGTTCTTGTTACTTGCGGTTCAGAAATACCGCAATGGTTCACAAAGTTCAGTTCTGAAATACTTTAAACAGTTTAAAGATGAAAATTTAAGTGTGGTGGGCTCATCTGACATGCGAAGGACATGCACAATATAATATGGCTGCCATGTTGTTGTTAGCCGGAATTCAAGTGGGGAGAATGGCTATGTTGTTGTAATAAATATAATATTTTGTTTACAGTATCTTGTTTCTTTGAATTGTATTCCTATTGCAGTTATGTATCCACTAGGGTCAGACGGTTAATGGATAGTGGTTTTCGGAAACCGATGTTGTTCTAGGGAAAAAACCCCTGAAAAAATCAGAAGAATTTGTTTGAAACTCAGTAATATTGAAACAAAATGGCACCTTGTCAAAATCACGGCGCTAGTTCAACTTTTTCTGACGAAACTTCCAACTTTCAAACGTTAAAAACGTGAGAAAATAACACACCTAACGGTGGCTCACCACTTACATATTAAGGCAGTACTATATAGTATATATACCATTAATACAATTTTTGAACATGTAGCATGAGTTCTTAATAAAGTCTTGAACATGTAGCGTGAATTTTAATCTAACTGTAGTTTTGACATAAGTTATACAATTGTTTGGGGGATTTTTTGGTTTTCATCCTGAACTGCCTCACCGCAGTACCCACATACCCTATTAAGCAGATACAGTGGGGTGTCTAAAAGTGAACCTGGCAGAAGGGGAATTTTGTATACATTAGCCTTAAACATGTCCGGTATGGTTATGATAACCTGTCCAGGGTGTGTCCATTGTAGTTTGGCGCATTTGAGAGGGCGGTTTTTGAATGTCTCAATTTTCGTGGCGGTTTACGGTGAAGAAGTTATCGCTCGGTTACAGAAAATCGTGGAGCATTATATAGACTATATTTGACATAAGCTCCATTTGAAGATTGGCTGCCTTCACAAAAATAAAATTTAATGAAGCGTAGTACTAGTTGTCATTGAGTCAGGCTATCTGTCATAGAAAAATGATCGAAACTGGAGTTAATTCAAATTGTAAATCCTTTCTTGCGCAAAAAACAAAACGGCTTATGGGACGTAGCAACCTTAACTATGCAGCGTCGGAACCGTCAATTCATTATTGTTGTTATTTGAAAGTTGCGTCTGCATAAAGTGCGAGCCATGCATGCGAGTCACACATGAATATACTGCAGCAAGTCATGCACGTTTTGGATAAATGTTTTCTATTATATATATATAGATCAAATATGTGCGAGCATGTTATACTGTGTATCATTTTAAAGCTTATGTAATACTGTGCATGTTATACTGTGTATCATTTTAAAGCTTATCAACCACGACGGACGTGGTCTTGTTAGCTCTTGAAAATATTATAGTTTGCTAACCTATTTATGTTTCTATAACAAATTGATCTTGCTGTAAAGGGGGTATTCGTTATCTATTGGTCTGGCGAATTAAAGACTAAACGGTGCTAACAATTAATAAGCTTGAGTAAAGAGGTCTTCTACATACACGAACTATGCCTACGACAACTCGTAATATGGCGACCGCTGATAGTCCTGCTTCAGTAGAATTTATTACTCAAATGGACAGCTATATTCAAAGCTCGGAAATCTTTAAAAAAGTACTCGTGGAAGCCCTAAACTCTGCTCTACAAGAAACATTAACACCGCTTTATGCAGAGATTAAGTCACTTAAATCTGAAGTTTCATCTCTGCGAAGCGAACTGTCTGAAGTCAAAGCTAAAGCCAACGACAACGAACAATATTCAAGGCGTAACAACATAAGGATTTTTGGACTTGGGGAAGAAAACAATGAAAACTGCTTCGATGTCGTGTTACGATTGTGTGATGAACTAAATTTGGACGTTAAAAGAAACGAACTTGATCGTGTTCATAGGGTGGGTCGTGCAAGTAACATGACTCATTCTTCTAGCAACCCAGTTCATCCTCGGCCTATGATTATTAAATTGACTGGTCATCAAAGCAAACTAAAGTTCATGAAAGCAAAAAAACAATTACGCAGGAATGTCTCTATCAAGGAAGATCTTACCCGGGAAAACTATGAGCTTCTGAAATATGTTAAAACAAATTCACTCAAAGACGTCGCTGTTTATACCATCGACGGTGTGATTATGGCGCGTGCACCAGGTCACGACAAGCCTTGCCGAATTTACAAGAAAGAAGACCTGGCTACGTTTAAACTACATAAAACTACCCCAGCAGCGGATGACTAAACAAAACGATGAGTTTGAATATTATTTTCTTTGTTCTGTGTGTTAATCGTATTTTGTTGTGTGTTTATTCTATGTTATATACTTTTAAGTCTTTATATTGGGCCGATTGGCGGCAGCTTTGTGTTAACCAAATAATTCATGTGCAGCGGATAGCGAATAACCCTATTAAAACATATAATGGGGGTTAATTTAGTTATTTATCGAGCAGCTATCGGCACGTTTAACAACTCTTTCATCGAGGCTTGTCTTTTTATCGTCCATTCAAGATTACTGCCGTGTTGCATCTTTTGCTATTATAATCTAGTACTAAGTTTATCTATTTTATTGCTTTTATCTGGTTCTGTCCATCCTAATCCAGGACCTCGCCAATCATGTTTGTCTATAGCTCATCTAAATGCAAGAAGTCTAAACATATGTGATAAGATAAGCGAAATTTCTGTGCTTGCTTTCCAGCACAAATTCGACTTGTTTGCTTTTTCAGAGACATGGCTAAATCCAAATGTCCCTAATGACTCAATTTTGATTTCTGGTTACAATGCTCCCCTGAGGAAAGACCGTTTGACTTCTCGTGGGGGAGGCGTTGCACTGTACGTTGGTGAACATTTACAAGCAATCAGGCGTCTGGACTTCGAGTCTAATGCTAATGAATTATTGTGGGCTGAAATCAAAGTCGGTTGTCTTAAACTACTTTGCGGTGTCTGTTATAGACCACCCAACCAATGTGCAGAAGCTATTGATGAATTTTTTCGTGTTTTCAAGATAGTCTTGATTTAATTTTTTCTACAGCTGAATTTTCAGCTGTGTTTATTCTAGGCGATTTTAATGCTCACTTCAATTTTAATGAGACGTCGACACCT